GCCAGCGACACTGGGCGGGCACGATTTTGCGAATTGCTTCCCCAGGTGGCTACTTCATCCACTTAGAGGGGTGCGACGGGAATGCCGGACGAGAACCGTTCAAAGTATATTGAGAAAATGACTATCTTTATGAGAACTGTGCCTCCAAGATACATTAACTCAAATAATCTTAACATTTTAGGGATCACAGATGGCTTCTGGAAATCTGATAGCTTAAAAACTAGACCAGGCGCGGTGGCTCACGCCTGTAATCTTAGCACTCTGCGCGTCGCTAGCCTGGGTGGGGGGCGGATCTGGTTTTGAGCTCAGGAGTTCAAGACCAGCTCTGGAGCAAGAACCAGCCGGCTCTACTTAAAAATAGCAAAGAACATTAATTGCGCGCAACTTAAAAATATGTAGAAAAGATTAGCCAGGCATGGTGGCCGCATGACTGTGGTCCCAGCTCTACTCGGAGGCTGGAAGGCCCAGGAAGGATCGCTTGAGCCCAGGAGTTTAGAGGTTGCTGCTGAGCCTAGGTGACACCACGGCACTCTAGGCCTGGCCCAAGAGCAGCTTGAGACTCTCTCAAAAAAAAAAAAAAAAAAAAAAAAAAAAACCAGAGACCATCTGTCATTGGAAACACATGCTTGGACATGCATACATGCAGTTTACATACTCATATTGCACACGGTCTATATTGGCAGGCGCCGTCCGTGGTCCCCAGAGAACCCCTGAAGCGTGACTCGGCAGACTGTATGATTAGGCCGCCTTTTTTGAAAAACTAGCGCCCTCCCTGCGACAGACGGGGAGACCAAGGTACAGGAGGCGGGGCCCAAGTCGGCCACCGCGCCCAAATCCAGTGGAGTCCGTGCGAGCGCCCCACTGTGGCCAGCCTGGTCCGTACACTGTCCCCGCCTGCGGCCACTCCGTAACCCAGACTCCCCTTGCACTGGCTCGATTATGGCCAGGAGCCAAACCACCCGCGAGACTTGAGCCATCCTCCTGCCTCAGGCCTCCACGTATGGCTGGACTACAGGCCATGGCCACCATGCCCGGCGATTTTTTTTCTATTATATATTTTCAGTGGGCCAATTGAATTCTCTTCTATTTTTTTTTTTTTTTTTAGTCATGACGGCGGTCTCGCTCTTGCCTCAGGCTGGTCGTCGACACTCCTGACCTTGAGCCGATCCTCCCGCCACTCGGCCCTCCCAAGAGGGAGCTAGTGATACAGGTGACCACCCCCGCCCCTGATGACGCAGTCAGGCGACTATGCCCAGGCAGGGAAGAGGGGACACATACACTGCCTTTTGACACGTAGTTGGAGTCGTGCATGATGTCTCTGGCCAGGCCAAAGTCGCAGATCTTCACGATCTTCCCTTGTGCCAGGAGGACGTTGCGGGCGGCTAGGTCCCGGTGGACGCACTGCAGGGAAAGGACAGAAGCGGCCGCAGGGTCAGGCCACCGGGGGCTGGACAGCAGCAGCCCTGCAAGCCCGGCCCCTCCGTGGTGGCGCTTGGAGCTACCAGCGCACCCCGCAGGAAGGCTGCCTTCCCCCTGGCTCTCAGGCACCAGCGCCTGACGAGAAGAGAGAAGTTCATGAAAAAATAGAGTACCCGTGACACGGGACTCCCGGCCCAGCGCAGGAGAAGAGGAAGAGAGCTGGGTAAGTGACAGGCAGCCATCGTTACCAGCCCCGTCTCCTTCCAGAAATCTGTGGCTGCGTCTAAAAACGTCCCTGTTGCTCGAACTTACATTTTTTGAAGCCAAAAACTCCATTCCCTCGGGCACTTTGATAGGGCGGAAGCCTCACAGTATCCAACCAGGGTAAGCCTTCGAAGGTCATCGGTCGGAAAGGAGGTTTTTGGACTTGATCGCCAGAGAAGGGAATTAACCCGGTCCGTGCCAGGAATTGGGGACATGTCACCCACGGGAGGGGCATCCGCTGGGCCGGGCCGGCTGCCTGGGGGCTTGCTGAGGCTTGCCCAGAGAACACACCCGGAAGCATCTTCTCACGGCATTCCTAGACCTCACAGGTGAATGCCTAAACTATGCAAAATTCTGCCTTAAAACAGAAATGTGCATGCATCAACACATACAGGATTAAAAAATTATTTTTTATACTTATGTATATATGCATCTTATACATATCTACTGGTCTCTCTAATGAGTTCTCATACAGAATTTTTTTATTTGCCTCTGAAATTTGGTGTTTTTTTTTTTGAGACAGAGTTTCCCTCTGTTGCTCGGGCTAGAGTGCCGTGGCATCAGCCTAGCTCACAGCAACCTCCAACTCCTGGCTCAAGCGATCCTCCTGCCTCAGCCTCCAAGTAGCTGGACTACAGTGCTCCACCATGGTGAGACAGCTCACAGGGGCTGCCACCCCACCCGGAGAGAGACACTGGCTCGTGTCCTTGCTCCGTGTGGTTCTTGCACTCGTGTGGCCGTGACCGTAGCCGGAGGCTCTTCCTGCACAACTTTAGGCATCTCGGACTAAAATTAGCATCACTGGACTTTGGGGGAGGCAAGTTCTCACCTGTCTGCATAGGGTTATGTGTCCCTGGTCTCCCTGGCTGTCTCAGAGGGTTGAGGGATGCCACGTGGCTAATTTATGCATCTGCCTCTGTTTAGCATTGTTCCAAAGGCGGGGCCAAAGTCACAAAAGAGGCCGCAAAATTCATCATTCATTAACGTCCAGCTCTTTGCAGTGGTGGGTGGGAAATGACTATTTCTTTTTTTTTTTTTTTTGAGACTCGTTTTTTTGCCCAGGCTAGAGTGAGTGCCGTGGCGTCAGCCTCGCTCACAGCAACCTCAAACTCCTGGGCTCAAGCAATCCTCCTGCCTCAGCCTC